CCGCCGCTTCCGTGGCCGCCGGGCCTCTGTGGCCCGGGACTCTGCGCCTCTTCGAGCAGCGCCACCGTGGGGCCACCGCGCGCCCCCAACCGCCCCGCGCCCGGCTCGGCCCAGCCGTACCGGACCTCGGGTCTCGGATCTCGGGTCTCGGGTCTCGGGTCTCGGGTCTCCGATCGCAGGTCTCGGATCTCCGCAGCGAGCTGGCACGGCTGGCCCCGCTCCTGCCTCTCCCGTCCTCAAATAGCGCGAGCGGGGCGGAGGCCGGGCCCGGAGGAGGGGCGGGCCTGGCCCAGCTGCCGCACCCAGTCCTGCCCAGTCGGGGAGGCCGGGAGGAGGCTCCCGAGGCTCGGCCCGGTGCCCCGGGGTTCCCTTCAGGGGGCGGCGGGGCGCGGCCGAGTCAGCTGTTTCCTAAGCCTGGAGCAGCGAACCACAGCCCGGGACAGAAGCCAGCGCGTACGCTTCGTGCACACGGCGGAGTCAGTGAGGAACAAAAATTTAAAGTAGAATGAGGACTGCTGGGCGTGTTGGTGCGGCTCAGCGGTGAAGTGCTTGCCTAGCACGCGTGAGACCCTGCATCTGTACCTAAGCACTTGCCTCCGAGTAACAATGATAATTTTAAAAAGCAAAGCTGAATGACCGTTTCTTTATTCAAAGACTCTAGTACTTTCCACCTATATGAATGAGACCCCAGGCATCGGACAAATTATACAAAGAAGAATGAAAAGCCTGTTGACTCTGGCGCAGCAGCCTTAAAGAACCTTAGCCAGGCTGGAAAGTGAACTGCTGTTGGCAACCTCTGCCACCGGCGCTTCGCCCCTAAATCCAGGTTTCCGCGCTGCTGCCCTTTGAGCTGGAAGACTCCTGATCCTGCCGAGCTGTTCTGGCGACGCGCAGTGTCTACAGCACCCACAACCGCGGCCCAGTAGATGTCCGTGGCAAGGAGCGCCACCCCATCCCAGTTGTGACTTAATTTTGTTTTTGGAGTAGTGAAACATATAGGAATGCTCAGAGATAGCTCACTTCCACTCATCCTCCGCAGCCCTTCTGGCTCCAATTTTATTAGCTCAGGATTATCCTTCCACTTATCTTCTGCAAAAATAAGCAATGTGTGTATATGTAGTGTGGATATATATATATACACATACATATCTGTTCATTCTAATTCCATCTTCCTTACCAAAGTGTAGTGTGGATATATATATATACACAT